ACCAGGATTAATCCACACTGTCTGAATTATTCCTCAGATGTATTTTTGCTAATTATACAGCTCTGGTTGTCCATAAATAGTATATTTTCAGCTCCAATGTTTTGAGGTAGAAGTAAAGCAAGATGCCAAACATCAGAAGAGGGGGGGTGCCTGAACTACTGTTATTTGTCTAACAATGTAATCCTAAACAGAGAAACTCTTCTAAATTGATTAAAGTCCAGTGGTATTAGCAGAGTGTGTTTAGGATTGCACTGTAAAGATCAACACATGTACTTCTGAATATACATGTTTAGGATGGAGTTGTAAATGCAGGAGGATGTTTTTGGGTTGAATGCAGGATAGTGTGAATGATAGGAGAAGACATTAAGTCCTCTGCTGCTTAAAGGAGAGATACATGCCCACTTTAATGGATAGCACCATCAAATGTTTGAACCCCAGAAGACTACCTAAACTAAGAAATGTGAGATTTCTGAAACATTTGACAGTACTTAACTGGTCAAATGAGGTGATGAATGAAAGAAATACTGACACTTGACTGTGTCTTCCATAGCTAATGTTAGAGGGGACCCCCCCCCCAACATTAAAACTTTTTGTTTGTTTCTCTGTAGATCATGGAGACTGCTAGTCCCAGTGACATACACCTGAGTGAATGGCAGAAGAATTTTTTTGCTGTTACCTCTGGCACCTGTACACCAGGACAGAAGGCGGATGCATACCGTGGACAGATTTTACGCATTCAGTATGCATGGGCAAACTCTGAGATCTCCCAGGTTTGTGCTGCCAGCCTGTTCAAAAGATACTCAGAAAAATACTCTGCAATTATTGACTCTGACAACACAGAGACTGGCTTGAATAACTACGCTGAAAACATTTTGACTTTGGCACAAAGTCAGCAGAATGACAGTGACAAATGGCAATCGGCTTTGACAACAAGCAATGTGATGGAATTGGAGTGTGTGCAAGAGATGATGCAGGCTGGCAAAAAGTTTCAGAGGTCTCTGATGGCACAAGCAGAGAAAGAGGTCAGTGCTTCTGTTTCTTCAGGTCTTCCCAAAGCTGCTCTCTGCTTTGATGATGGAGAGTCTGTTCTTGGAGCTAGCTCATCAAATTGTGCAAGTCAGGGACCAGATATCCTTGTGGGTCCCACTTCTTTGAAATGTCATCAGAATGGCACGGCTTCCTCAACCAAAGTAGCAGTTGCACATTCTTTTTCATCTGTACCTGTAAATGAAGTGTCTGATGTAGGGTCTCATGCAACCCCATTGTTTGGAAATGGCAATTCAGCATGTAATAGTTCTTTGAAACTTGCGAGTGTTTCTGGTTGGGGGCAGAACTCCTCATCTTCTGCTCAGTCTGCTTTTCCAACAGGGGTGAACAATCTGGGGAAAAGGAAAACTTTTTTTGGATGTAGTGAAGAAAGCAGTAATGTAGCTTATGGTTATAAGTCTTCAGTTAATATAGAAGAAAAGGACTTTTCAGGGAATGGAAGCAAAAACAATGAGAATAGAACATCTGGTTTCAAAACTGCAAAGGAGCAGCTCTGGGTGGATCAGCAGAAAAAATACCAAAACCAATCCCAACGTACAACAGTCTCATCTTATGGGGGTACAAAAAAGTCTTTGGGAGCTGGAAGGTCTCGGGGGCCATTTGGAAAGTTTATCCCTCCAGTGCCAAAACAAGATGGAAATGAAAACTTGGGAGTGCAGCGCAAACCTTCTGGTGCAGAGTCTACAGAGTTGACTTGTCCTACAGATGAAAGGTTAAAGAATATAGAGCCAAAAATGATAGAACTTATCATGCATGAGATTATGGATCGTGGGCCTGCAGTCAACTGGGACGATATTGCTGGAGTTGAGTTTGCAAAGGCAACTATCAAGGAAATAGTAGTGTGGCCTATGTTGAGGCCTGACATTTTTGTAGGCTTACGGGGCCCACCGAAAGGGATTCTTTTGTTTGGTCCCCCGGGAACAGGGAAAACTCTCATTGGCAAATGTATTGCGTGTCAGTCTGGCGCCACATTTTTTAGCATCAGTGCTTCTTCGCTGACTTCTAAGTGGGTTGGTGAAGGGGAAAAGATGGTCCGCGCATTGTTTGCTGTGGCACGATGCCATCAGCCATCAGTCATTTTTATTGATGAAATTGATTCTCTGTTGTCCCAGCGTGGAGATGGCGAACATGAATCTTCTAGAAGAATAAAAACTGAGTTCTTGGTTCAGCTAGATGGAGCAACAACTTCTTCTGAAGACCGCATATTAGTTGTAGGAGCAACCAACCGTCCACAAGAGATTGATGAGGCTGCTAGGAGGCGGCTGGTGAAGAGACTGTACATCCCACTTCCAGAAGCCTCTGCCAGAAGGCAGATAGTGTCCTGTCTAATGTCAAAGGAACACTGTTCCTTAACGGAAGAGGAAGTGGAGCTCATTGTCAAAAAATCAGATGGGTTTTCTGGGGCTGACATGACTCAGCTTTGTCGAGAGGCTTCTCTAGGTCCCATTCGTAGCCTCCAGTCTGTTGATATTACAACTATTACACCTGAGCAAGTACGGCCTATTGTTTTTCAAGATTTTGATAATGCTTTAAAAACTGTGCGCCCTAGTGTCTCCTCCAAAGATCTGGAATTGTACGAAACCTGGAATCAAACATTTGGTTGTGGAAGATGAGGGAAATGAATTAGGATCTATGGGAATTTTTATTTTTGATATTGTTAAATTTCTGAACTGTTCTAATAAATGTGAAGACATTGACTGACTTGTGCTTTTTTGTTTTGCTGCCTGAACTAACATGCCCTTTGAGCAAGTAGACTACTTTGCTCTGGCTATATTAGGCTCTAGTCCTTAGCATACTAACAAGGAAGCAAATCCCATTAAGTTCTGCAAAATTAACTTATGAGTAAGCATGTCTGCATGCCCCTGTAGTACACTGAAAGTATTTGAGCTGTTCCACCATACTAATTGATACACAGTATATATGGAAAGTGCCATAGTACTTTTTTTGCTATGTAAGTCAAAAACTCAGTAGCTTAAGGCTTTTAGAGATGGACATTCATCAGAGGAAGCAGATATACTCTAGAGCTCTCACTGCACTGCTTTCCTTCTCTCAGACCTGAAGGCTCCCTAAGCTATTTTGGGTGGTTAAGCCCCTTCTCCCGCTGTCTCCTGTGTAGTTTGTATATGCCCAGAATGAGAAAGCAGAGTGCTGAAGTGGTAGAATGGACTTACCATTTAAGACTGTGGAAGAGGGGTTATATTTGTCAGGAGTTCCCCTACGTTAATAGTTCCCTACAAGTGGAAAAGTAGCAGGCCAAGGACTAAGCTGGAAGGGTCCATTTTAATGTGCTAAATTTTAAATCTGTAAGGTGCTTTCACATATTTATTAATTAAAATATATTTATATCATGTCCTTGTCCAAAGATTGAAGGCACATACCAAAATGCCAAATAGCAGAAAAATAAAACCATAGAGCATAAATTTCAGTAATAATTGAAACATTACAATGGCATGTTGATCAGACTGGAACAAAGACATTTTATTAGGTCCAGCCTAATGAGACATAACAGCATGCAGGCTTTTAAGTTCATCAGAACTTTTCATCAGGCTGGATATTACTGAGGATTTTTAGCCTTTGGGATGAGTTCATAGAGCCACTTCAGCAGCGAAAGGACCCCTGGAATAAAAATGCTTATACATGCTTTCTGAAAAGAAGGCAGTGATACCTCACATTTCCTCCAGCATACTGTGCCACAGGGTCAGACTAATGGCTGAGAAGGTCTTGAACTGAACTGGGGGGGGGGGGAAAGGTGCAGATCTATTAAAAGTACAGTGGCCTAGAGGAGCACAGCTGGTAGAATTGCTATGTTGCAAGCATTTAGGAGAATAGTAATTGATAAAGCTAAGCAAGGAGAAAGGAAAGGGTAGGGGGGAGGGTGTAGCACCACTTCCGAAATGTCAAACAATGGTTCTTGTCAATAGTTCAGCTTTTATCATCATGGTGATCAATGCTCCCTCTAAAATTCTACTTTGTGAGCTACTGGCATTAAAGTTGTGAGCGAGCGATTTGGCTGCTGCATAAATTAGTTTGCTCTGGAGCCATCCTTCCTGACAGAAATGTGTGAGCCCGAGTCTAAAAAATTGTGAGCTAGCTCACACTAACTCAGATTAGAGGGAACACTGCTGATGATTCTTGGATCATCATTATTTTAGAAAGTGGATCATTGCTATGAGGAGAAAAATCCAGAGTGGAGACTACAATGTGAGATTGCCGAACTCAAGTTCATTCACAAATTCAGAATAATGGATTCCCCCAGGACTAAATAGGGACATAGGATTCTTATCTCACTACAGATGCTAATTTTCTGCCTCTAAGCATTTCTCTGCTCTAATCAAGTTGATTACAATGTGTATTGTATCTCTGCATCCTTTCTTTGCAGGATCACTCCCACCATCTGATTGGGATATAAGGACTTGGAGATCTCCATTCTGACCCATATTTCATGAAGAGAGCTTTGATTCTCGAAAGCTATACCTGGAAAACCTTGTGTGCATGCACAAAAGCTTATAGGCAGAATTAAACTTTGTTATCAGTAAATAAAGTCACTAACGGGTTGCTTTCATGTTGGTTGGGTCAGGAGGGGAAAAAGATGGAGTTGGCAGAGATAAGAAGAGATTGGATTTATACCCCGCCCTTCACTGCCCGAAGGAGTCTCAGAGCCGCTTACAATCTCCTTTCCCTTCCTCTCCTCACAGCAGACACCCTGTGGGGTAGGTGGGGCTGAGAAAGCTCTTTCAAGAACTGTTCAAGACACTATTCAGGATTTAATTGCTACTTGTGCCTTTATACCTTGTGTGGACCTATAGAACTGTGTGGCTAGCCCTGCATGCCCAAGGAGATGTTGGATGTGTCCCTCAAACAGTAATACCCCCATGCCATATGGTAAACATTACAGTGTTCTTTCAAAATGAGGAAGGCATCAGGGTCTGCTTGCTATTTAGATCCTATTAGAAGAAGCTTTACACCCATATTGGTTCAGGCAAAGTCCAAAACCAAGAACAAAATCCATGTAATATTTTTAATGAGAACCAACCAAATCGGCACAAACATCGTCCAAGCCTAGAGTGTCAAAAGTCCCAATCCCGAGTAAGGACTTTTGGTACAAGGGGAGTGCGTCACAAAACAGTTACAAAGTACCAGAGAGAGTCTAAAACTCACCCTAGTCTTGGTAGGTTGCCACCTGGTCTTTCAATCTATCCCAGCAGCCCAGGAGAGGAAGACCAAGCCTCCCGGCTTCTCAGGGAACTTAACAAGAAAAGTCAGCCCTGCGGAGTGGGACTGCAGTCAAAACAGTTAACTGGTAGGTGGTCAAGGGTTAAGGCTCTGGATCAAGGCTTTGAGGTTACTGAAGGCAAAACCACAACAGGGTAAAAATATGATTATTTATTTAAGGTGCAAAAATATCTAAAGGCTAGAGCGTGAAGGAATAAAACAAATAAATCTAAGCTTTTCCAGCATAGCTAAACGTACAGAAACAAGGTTCAATTACCATCCAATGTTCAGCAGAGGCAGTCAGTTCCAGCAAGGCAAGATGTTCACAACTTTAGCCAGTCCAGGCAGGAATCAAGTGGGATGCCGTTCTGGGATTTGACTGGCTTTTGAGCAAAAATTCTACTTATTAGCGCCGGACATTAAAGTTGTGAGCAAGCCATTTGGCTGCTCCATAAATTAGTTTGCTCTGGAGCCATCCTTCCTGAGCTAAGACAAAAACATGTGAGCTGGAGGCTAAAAAACTGGGAGCCAGCTCACACTAACTCAGCTTAGTGGGAACACTGGCGACATCCAAGGATGGACAAGAGAGAATGGGAGAGAAACAAAACCATACTGCAGCTAGGTCCGCCCCGCCCCCATACACAGATGTCCATCATTGCAATGGCTCGGAATGTGCCAACTGGAAACACCAAGGGTGGTTGGTACCAGGGCTATTTTTGGGCAGGAACGCACAGCAGGAACTCATTAGCATAATAGGCCACACCCAACAGCAGAAACTCGTTAGAATTGGCTACATTAGGGGTGTGTGGAGTTCCTGCTACAAAAAAAGCCCTGGGTCTTGACAACAAACAAGGTAAACAGAATAAGAAGCAAAGGGCGGGTGTGGCAGGATGACCACACTTCTGGTAACATGGGGTTGCGGCCTAATATGCTAATGAGCCGTGCTGTCAGGGTGGGGCCTAATATGCTAATGAGTGTCTGCTGTTGGATGTGGCCTATTATGCTAATAAGTTCCTGCTGGGCTTTTTCTACATAAAAAGCCCTGGTTGGTACTGCCTTTAGCTGAAACAATTTATCTGGCAAGGTCACCGTGCTATCTACTTCTGAGCTGTCTCTAACCGCCTCTGGGTAAATTCCTGCAGGCCTCTGTGCAGCCTGAACCAAACATTTTACTTTACAGAACAGAGCAAGGAACCATTTTTCTTTACATAGAGCTCTTCATCAGTATGGATGTTACAAAATGTATAGGGGTAGAAGGCAGAATTCTCAGGCCGTGATCTCAAGGTCTCATCTTGTAGGCATCCTTTGTTTGGATCTTAGCCGCTGCGTTATTGTAGCACTGAAAGAAAAGTTACAGAAATTACATGTTAGAAAAAGTTAGATCAGAGAAATACATGTTAAAACTTGACTCTACAATCGGTATTAAGTTTTTTACGGCTTTTTCTGTACAGATACTTTGCTCATGCAGTCAAAAAAAATAAATAAATGTGGCACTTATGAGGAAATTGCCTTCTCTGATGACTTTCTCTTTCATTAGTGTGCAGGCAATTTGCATATTTATCCCACCATCTTGCAGAAATCCAGACCATCTACTGAAAATCGTGGATCCATTGAAGCCAGTGGGGGTAGGTGACTAATATACATATGTGTTCCATAATCTATTAAAATGCTACCTCAAATGAAAAATAACATAATTTCACAAAATATAGACGATTGTAACAAAGCAGGGCATGATTGCAATTTAAAGGAAATGATGCAGATAAATCCACTTTAATGGATATGTTCAGTAGATGCAAAAATATAATACTCTGTTATTTCTTCTTTTTTGGCTGGTTGAACTTGGTGAGCGCAACCCTCTTCTGTTACGTGGTTCAGCAACACTAAGCACTCTCTCTTTTCCTTTCTCCTAAATGGTAGTAAGTAATTTCTGCAGACTTGGAAAGGTGAGCCTTTATTAACAATTAAGGCGGTTCAAAAATCTTTGTTTCATTTTCTCCCTGTGTTTCCCACATCTGAGTTGGCTAAAATTGCATTGGCATATTTTGAAATCTCTATCTGCATTTCCATTTAAAAGCACTACACCAGCTAGGACACTGAACCTGATGAGATGGGTAATGATTGCCACTTTAATAAAAAATAACCTCAGTCAAAAGACAATGCGGACAATATGGACTTCAATGAGATTGAAATATTCAAATGAGGAACATGTTTAATTCTTCAAATACGAATATTGTTTTTCCCCCACAACACAGCTTTCCCTTTTTCTCCCTCTATGGTGTGACATTTCCATGAACTGAGGTTTTTTTTAAATTAAAGTTTTCAGCTTTGTAAGGGCATTCAGCATAAATGCTACTCAGGAGTTCAAAAACGTTTACCTAGACCAGCGAGTCACCTATTAAGT